ACATTTTTCACACTTGGTCTGATTAGAGAGATTATTCCAGACATTAGCTCTGAGAGTCTGGTGCGTCTGGTGAAGCTGCTGTTACAGTTAGGACGAAAAAAACGGAGCATAAATTTGAGCTGAACCAGAGACGTTTTTCTGGCTCTACAGTCCAGCAGCGTGTTCGTATCACACTCGGTTTCATTTCCTTTACACCCTCATTTTCAGCTCCCCTCCTTGTTCTGCTGCTCAGCGAGTTTGTTTTCATTTGTGTCTCCATTTGTCATTTTGATATCTTCCTCTTTTTTTTCTTGCTCCTGCCGGCTGATATACTTAAAATCCCCTTCAGGTTTTTTGTTTTTATCTCACAGACACTGTTTTCAATTTCCTCCCTCCTTTTGCATTTCCTCGTTGATGGATTCAGACTGAACTCGAATTTAAAAAGAGCTCAGCTCGTGTCGGATGTTCACGTTTCAGATCTTTGCGGACTGAAGAATGAACTCACACGGCGTCTCGGCAGGGTTTGTTTCTGCAGACAAACAACGAGCAGCAAAAGCACTTAAAGCTTTTAAAGTGGAGAGATATGTACCATGAATTTTACATGACTGAAGCGTGTCGCGCTGAGAGAGCAGAGGAAGAACATGTGACGTAACTCAGCAGGGCAACACAAATCCAACCGGAGCCCCCTGCAGATCCAAAACACACTGTTTATTTCACATGAACAGGTCTGTGATCAGAGCTACCTCAACATCTTCAGGGTTTTGTCTCTGCTCTGCTGGAAAATACATAAAACTTTATTTAAAAGGACAACAACTGACAGCAGGTGATCTGCAGGTGAAGCAGAACAAAGTTTGACAAACTGCAACTGTGACAGAGTCTGAAGTCAAGAGAGGGTCGCCTGCTTCCAGACAAGGCTTCAGCCAGGACTTTATAGAAATACTGAAATCACGAGTCCTAATTCCCGAGCATCACTCAGTCAAACTTTAAAATTGTAGCTTCTTTCATACAGACTAGGGCATGACACGTGACTGATATGATGATAATGAGAAACAAGAGCCCAAACAAGTCACATTTTAGTTTGTTGCATTTTTAAAGCCCATTGGTGTAATTGTTTTCGTTCTTCCAGTTTAGCGCTAGCTGTGCTGTTAGATGTTTTAAACCAGCGGCTGTTCAGTAAAAATGAGTGTTGGACGAAGGTAAATTAAAGTCCTCATGACGTTTTCAATATAATCTTGTAAAATATAGCTTTTGGTCGGAAACTGCCAGCGGGAGGCTCAACTAGTGCACCAAATGTGTTCAGACTGCCACTGGCTATGAGGAACCAAGAGCAAAATCTCTCAACACAACTACTGATGGGATTTAACAGGTTTAACTGTCCACAGATTGAGTTTACCATGCGATTGTAGGCGCTAATTTTCCATATCATGTATGAAATCGTGATTTATTCCTCATGGAAAGTCCAGGTTTCAAGGAGAAGTGATTTACATTACCCTTAATGATATATAAATTAAGATGAGCATCAAACTAAGTTAGTCTACATACAGACAGCTGTCACTTGAGCTTATTAGTAACAATTAACTATCAGCTGAACTGCCGTGCTGTCCTTGTGTCAGACATAACATTAGTGTCAGTGGATGAGAGACTGTGGACTGAGCAAACTGAATATCCTGTCTACATGTCTACATGTTCATGCTGCTGAACACGTTTTGATAAAGTATTGGCTTCTTACTCGCTCAGGGTTAATGTCACTTACAGTAATTAGTGTAGCTGCCATCAACTCGAGTCATTTTCGAGTTGTCTTCACTTTGTTTCCACCAGGGCCGCTCGGCTGTTCGCTGGTTACCGTGTCACATCGGTGTGTGTAGATGTGTGTAGAGGAGATCAGCGCCGGCACAAAAGAACCGATACCATTAGCGCTTAGCAATACTACGGTCTTTAATAATTTAGCTCCAGGGCCAATTTAGTACCGGGTTTCGGTACCCATCCTTAATCAAACCACAAACAAAGTGAAGCTTGTAGAAATGAAAAAAAAGTTTTCAGCGGCTGCCCGTACCAGGAAGTGCAGAACGCTGCAAATGTGTGTTCCACCGATCAGTGTTCTACGGCAAACAGCCCCGCCCCTCAAGAATTCCGGGTAATCTGAAAAGTCCTACCCCCCTACTAGGTATTTTTTCCAGGGTAAATTTGGGGGTGAGGGAAAGTTTTTTACCCGGGTAATTTCGGTGGAAACGCGCAGAGGTTTTTCAAAATTCCGGGTAATTGATAAAAGTTCCTGCGGTGGAAGGCGCTATTGCTAGCTGCAAAGAACAAGAAACCTTTTGCAGATGGAGATGTACTGAAAGGTGCAATGATGGAAATTGCAAACACTGTGCTCCAAGGCGAGAAGAATGGTTCCGAAGCAATCTCCGCTCTCTCAGTCGTCCAATTTAGGGCAAGTACGATCGTCAGAAGAGTGTCAGCTATGTCCGGGAACTTGATGGAGCAGGTGGACTGAGATCTGAGTACGTGCAGGTGGTTTAGCATCCAGTGCGATGAGTCAGTGGACAGCAGCAGCACAGTGCAGCTGATGGTTGAGGACACTGAGTGGATACTTGACCTTGCATTTCTGACGGACATCACTGGGAAACTGAATCATTTGAACTGTGAACTGCAAGGCAAAGGTAAGACTGCCTCTGACATCATCAGTGCTGTCAACGCATTTAAAGCCAAGATGAACATCTTCTCCGTGCGTTTACAGAGTAGGAAAATGCTGCACTTTCCTTCTGTTCGGTCAGTGCTGAATGACTGGCTGAATGAGCTTTTGACAGAGCTGCAGAAAAGTACTCTCAACTCATGAAGAGACTTGGGCAAGAGTCTGAGGACAGGTTTTGTGACTTTGATCAGCTGGAGCCATGTGTGTCATTCATTTCCAATCCTTTCATGCATTGCTAAGCAACTAAGTGCAACATTGAACAAGGATGCTGGAGAGGTAGAGATGGAAAATCTCTACATTGCACAGTAACATTCACCTCAAAGCTCACCAAGGTGCACCAAATTTTTGGTGTCTTGTGGACCCAGAAAAGTACAAAGCTGCTTGTCTGTTTGGTTCAACCTCTCTGTGTGAATCAGCCTTTTCTGCCATGAACTTTATTAAATACATGTGTTTCCTAGGATGGTAAATTATTATTGATTAATGATTGTGAGGAATCAGGACAGTCTCATCATATGTAGCATATTAAATGAATAATCTTTATTCTGAACAGTAAGATTATATCAAACAAGTAGCCTCCATATTCTTCCGAACCCTTGAGGTAGCACTCAGTTTAAAAAAGGTTGGTTACCCCTGACCGAGCTGGAGCCACCTCACTAGCAGCGGCCAAACCTGCTTTCACATTAGTTACAGGGCCTGTCTGTACAGCATCACTTTCATCATCGTCATAATCATCATCTGTATCAACACTCACGCTTAACATTTGGCCGATGGTGAAAGTAATTACAGAAACACCATCAACATGCTTTTATAAAGTTATGCTGACCGTTCCTTAGCGTCCCCATGTTTGGTCCCCCCTCTGTTGGGGTACCTAGCACACAGATCTGGTACTAAAAGGTGGAGCTGTGAACACTGCAGTCTGATTGGTCAGTAGAGGACGGTCACTCTGCTCAGGGCTGAGTTGTGTCTGGTTTTGAGGCTCATGTAACCACTGTTCATACTGTGGAGAGTTTTATTAGTAAACTGTAACTATAAAATCAAAGGATGTTTTGCTGCCTCTCACAGCAGCTGGAGTCTGAGAAAAAATAACTTCATTCACTGGGCCGACTGCCGGCAACTTTTAAGGTGGAACGTTAACTTGTAATGTTACTCAATGCATTAGTTGATGACGTGAATCCATCAGCACACCTTAAATTTCACTGTGACAACTTCAGTGGATCTTTGAGTGTTTAAAAAGATATATTAACAATGACAGGATTATGCAAACTGCATATATTATAATCCTCACTTGGAGAAAAAGAAGCGTTGCAGAGCGTCTTTCCTGTGGGCTACAGCAACACTAAACTCCTGAGCTTGCCTGAGAAGGACTAAATGCACAAACCCTCTATTTTTAAATATCCCATGGATAGAGACTCTCACTTCAGCCTGTTCTATTTTGTTGTGAAAATGTGGGCGTGCAGCCTCGTTCTGTGGACGATAAACCAGGTGCAGACTTCCATCTGTGTCACCGCTGATGAGGAAATACAGCGAGTGCTGGACTGAGCAGTGAGTGACAACAACCCCGCCCACATTTAAGAGGACTGTCTGAACACACCAAGGGTCTAGGTACCATGTCTGAAGGCTTACTGCTGGTTCCAAAGGTGCTGGACTGAAAGAGTTTGGTGGAAACAGGGCTTAAGGTGAACAGTCCCCAAAAATTGCACTCGTTCCTTCTGTTTGTTTGATAAAAACTACAGTAACCAGCTGTTTTGGGAAATTACTGAGTCTGTTCTAAACTATGTATTTGTGAGGTGTTTCTGAAGTATTCAGCTGAGAGCAACAGACAGGAAGCACATGAGATTAGACGACAACAGAAAACAGTGAGATGGAAATAAAAATAAAGGTTCAGAGGTTAAAATAACAACAACAGACGAAAAGCTGCTGCTCTGAATGCAAGAAGCCAGCTACTGTGTGTGTGACCTTCATCACTGCACACACCCACACACACACACACACTGATGTGATGTAAATGAGAGCATGAATACACTTCATACTAATGTAATTTCACAGCTTAAATGATTCAATGCGCACACACACACACACACACACACACACACACGTCATCATTGTTTTACCTCCCTGCAGCAGTTTGAGGTTAGCATTAGCACTGATGCTAAACACTGACATTATCACTGCGTGAGAGAGAGTGTGTGTGTGTTTTTGGGTTCATTAGCTAAACCACTGACCTTTAGAAAGCACACATCAACACACACAATCACACTGACAGCCAATTATCCACACACATATACACACACACACACACACACACACACACACACACACACACACAGACCTCTGCAATGAGGACGACGATGACGCAGTCTTCTTTCTCGGCGGGACTGAGCTCTGACATCAGAGAGCTGAGTGTGTCGGTCAGGTACGAGTGGACCTCCCTCTTCACACTGGGAACCCCCATCACGATGGAGACTGCACACACACACACACAACAGAGATATTAGATTTTAGGCAGACTGCTCCTTTAATCAGCACAGAGTGGCGGTCCAGATGGGGCAGAAGCTGCAGAGGAAACAGAAGAAAAATAGTGATGGCGCTCAGAGACAGGAAACAACAGAATTATTAGAAGCAGAGACGGACGAAGTATTAAGATTCCTCACTGCAATAAAAGTACTAATATCACACTTTAAAGTACAAAGTACAAGTTAAATTACGTTAAATTTGCACTTCAGTACAGTACTTGAGTAAATGTACTGAGCTGCATTCCACCACTGGTCAAAGGTCACAGCAGCCTGATTTTACTGTGATGTCATGATGGCAACAAAGTGCTCCCCTGACAATCCCGGCTTCAGAGGGCTGAGAGGTTGAAGTGTTCCCAGGAAATAGATGAAGCCTCTGAATAGTTCGGGGGGGGGAGGAAATGTTAAGTGCTCCTGCAATTACACAGAGCCGGCTGGCAGCTTCAGTAAACATTCCCAGGAAACACAGAGCCAATAATAGTTCCAAGAGCTGGGGAGTGTAAAATGTTTCCAGCAAATACACAGAGCCGGTGGGGATTTTTAAGGACCAGGGAATGCAAAATGTTCCCACATAC